GAATAAATAATATAAAGTTATTGTATGTCCACGTCAATATATCAAATATATTATATGTATTTATTTATCAATTTAGAATAATTGAATATGCTTTTTATAGGGTTTTATGTCATTTAAATTACTTTTAAAAGTTCCTTACAGCCTCCCTTGCAATAATCTTTCTTAAATAACTCAATATTTCTATATTAGTCATTTTGTTTAATCGTTTAAAATCAAATGGTTGATTTATCCTCTTGTTAGTTTACAAAATATGCCAGTTTATACATATTGATTTCACATCATCTCCTTTAAGTTTATAAATTTGTATTTGTTTTTTTTTTTTTTGATTCTTCAATGAATTTCTTTTCTCTAGAAAAAACATAATTTACATTAATTTTTAAACTCTTCCGTATACAGCATACTAATATTAATGTAAAGTTACAAGCCACATTTAGAAAATATGGCTACCTATGTACGTCATATAGGCTACAAGGCTATGTAGTATATGTACCTAGATTACATAAAAGATTCAAATTAYATAAAAAATTAAACAATAAAATATATTATTTCAATTGACAGTTATAAATCATCATATTATTTATTATTTAAATCACAAGAATTCACAACATTATTGTAAAAAGTTTTGAATTAAAAAAATGATTATTTCGTTTTTCTTTTTTCGATTTCTCAATTCCGCTTWTCAGATATCGGCTAATTTTTTTGTGCTCAAGGCACCACGGTAATGGTATATGCCGGGTTTACACGCTGCGTAGTACTTGTCACTCGCACTCACACATTGCGTGTGAACAGAAAAAATAGTGCTTAGTATTAGTAAAACCGAGAGTGCGAGTGAATTATAGAATCCAGTCCTATTTACTAATGACAAGTAGCTAGTCATAGTGCGAGTGACAAGCACTAATAGTCTCAAATTAAATTGCTTATCATTCTATGGCCATGTCGCCCTCGCCATAAATCATAATAATATAATATCATGATTCACGATGACACGAATAGAATACACGATAGAATAGGATGGACTGGTGAAAGGTGAATTGGTGAAACATTATATAGGAATTAAGGAATATACTGAATATAGGATCACAATTAAAGATATCTTTAATCGTGTATAGGATAGATAGAATTAAATAGAAATTAGTAATATAGAATATTAGGTTTAATATTTTATTAATAACATATTTTATTTATATAGTTTATTATATTTTTACATTATATAATGTTTATATCTAATATGGCTTGTATACTTGCATAAGTACTTCAGTAGTTCTTGAATTACAAAAATGCAAAACAATTTAAAAATAATACATAATACAGTAAAATTTAATCAAGGTACCTACAATATAATTTAAAAACTAATAATTTAATATTGCTAAAAAGTAATGCCTTGGATATTATACTCATATAATCTGTGGCCATATTGACATAATATGTATGATGAAAATCTACCTACTAAACCTTGTATTTGTTGGTATATTTATTGATAGCATATATTTTAATATGCATAAAAATTTGAATAGTGTATTTAAAATTTTAATTACAACACGAGCAGAACAAATACCTAGGTAATAATAATTAAAAATAATATTTCAAGATTATATGATCTGTGGTCTACAATGATGATCATAGACATTTTACTATGAATACATTTCAATATTATGAATGTAAGTACGAACTATTTATTATTTTATAAGATGTATTATTAATTTATTATGCTTGTTATAAGCAATAAAAAATAGCATTTAATAGATATACATTGAATGGAAGAAAAGAATAACTTTTATAACCAGAAATAAGTAATGTTTATATAGATGTTACCGAACCTAATTATTAATTGTTTTGTTTGATATTCAGCTCTTGAGAAACAACATAGACAACACACACTTCTTGATATAGATACAGAGTATGACCTTTCAATTAAAATAATCTATAGAATATATTAACATTATGCTAAATTATTGAAACAGTATATATTTCCATGTTTCAAGAAAAATCAAAGTATATAGTAAATCCAATATTTTATTTAATAATGCTGAAGTATAATACAGAAGAATTAATCATATTTGATGAATATTCTGTATTCAGATTGGATTGTGGTGTTCGTCCGTCATCAATATTCTATAATATAATACAAAATTTACTCATACTCATCTACATCTTGCCTAAAATTCACAACTATTTAATGTACATAAGTGACTTAGTAAGTAGTTTAAATCTTGTAAAAAAAAATTGAATGTCAGTCAAAACGATCAAATATAATAGGTATTTTATAGACATAATAAGACTAGTACAAAGTAAAATTTAAGATAATTTATTAATTTAGGAGTTAGATGAATTTGCTTATTTATATAAGAATTCAACCTAAATTCTTAATAAATGATTCAAATAATTTTTATGTATTGTTAATTATTACTAATTGATTTATCATTTCAACAAAACAATTGATGATGTTTAATTTAAAATAAACATTAAAAACGAGAAACAACTATCGTACCTATCTACTCATAAACTTTAAAACTACATATTTGTTTGTAATATATCATTGATAATCATAAAATAAAGAAATTAATAGTCATATAATTGCTATACTTATTTTTTATTTTCATCTGCAAAAAAAATGTTAACAAACAAATTTTACATTCTAAATGAATATTTAAGTTTAATATTAATGTAAATAACTATTTGTACCTCAATAAAAATTCTTAAAACTCAGTTTTACGGATTTGGATATTTTTTCAAAAGATAATTGATTTCTCTAGGTGTAAGATTATCTTTTCCAGTAGAAATGTTTCCTTCACGTCTGTCTTGTTTTCTTTTAAACTTGTCAGCATAATTTTTAGTTGCACATGCTTGAAACTTGGTAATTTCATCTGAACATCTGGTTTGGTCAAATTCATTTTTTTTGAAGCAGGCAAACATGACAGATATTTCATGAACACATGCACGTTCTTTGGACCTATCTCCTTTACCAGATACTTTATCTTTCAATTTAAGCGGCAACAGTTCTTCAAATTTTACTTCAAGCGGATTTTTCGTATATCGTCGCATATCGCGAAAATTTAAAACGTTGTTTAAACGCATAATGAAATTACTTCGTTTATCTTTATTTCCCTTATCCGTTGATCTTTTTGGTATTTTAAATCGTAGATCTCAGTGGCTATTTACACAACACACATTACACATCCGACGAGAAGCTTTAATTTTAATCTAATAATATGTTATATGTATCTAGTAATTCAATATTTCAATTTTTATTTTTMTTGTCCTATAGACTATAGTAGGAGCACAGAACAATAGGTAGGAGGTTGGTCGTGATATTAATACTGATAGTATATCAACTATCAACATCTTGTAATGATAAGTGCAAGGTGGATATATATATATCCACCTTGGATAAGTGCTACAGATTGTGATAAATGCTATCATACATATAATATGATAATRTGCCAAGATTAATCTCCGCGTGAATTTAAATAACACAATTTTAGAAAATTTTAATAAATTTAATGCTTGGAATTGGAAGGGCCCTAAAAACAATTCAAAAACGACATAGAAAAATTCAAAAATTACATAAATTACAAATAATTGTTTTAAATTAGAAAAATACAATTTTTTTTTTTTAAATGAATAAAATACATTTAAAAGGTAACAAATAACTCAAAATTATACAATKCGTAAGCTTGACTTACTACTTGTTCAGTTGTAAAACGATATAAAATAATACATGACACATTATAACATAATAGTTCAATATAATCTATCTATTAAATAATAATAATATAGTACCTAATGCTAAAATTGTATTGAAATTGCCAAAGTTAGATTTTAAGCTATTCTAATCTAACCAATTATACTCTATCAAAAGGCTAATTTGATCGATGTTTACAATATGAATATTATGACCAGAAATATTTTACTACACTTTTAGTGTTTTTTGAAAATATTTACAGCGATTATTTTTAATTTATCAAAATAAATAGTACTTATCCAAAAGGATTACAATGAAAAAAATACTTTTRATTATTTCAAATTTCAACCCCAAAAAACATTGCTTATGGTGGAGAAAAAGAGTTACAAAAAAATCAGATTTTAACTTATGGAAAGTTTTATTATTTTATATTTGACATATTTTATCATAGAAAATTTTATATTGAATGTAAATATTGAATGAAATGAAAAGGGCTTAATTAAAAATTAAATATATTAAATATAAATTTTATATACTTTGTAAATTTCGGCCTGTGTACTTTTAAAACATGCGTAAATTGCGTACAGACTATATTTGAATATTTTTAAATGTACGTAAATTGTGCCTTGGGATATTCCGATTTCCGGTTAGTTGTACAATTTAAAGATAAGTATTAGCACTATCGATCGATGTAGTTAATATATGGTCACTTAAATATATCCACATAATATTATAAGCATCCAGTGTGGCGGACTGTAATATGATACATACCTATATCATATTGAGAAGTCAGTGAACAATTTTTAACCACACCAATGTCCATACAATTATTTTGCCAGTCCTAATCTGATTAAAATATTGATTTTGTGAAAAAAAACATTATACGTAATTTACGTTAGTAAATAAAACATTTTTAAATATGTATATCTATAAAAATATATTCAGCCGCAATTTACATCAAAAAAATTGAAGTGAGACGCAATTTATAGCGACCCTCGGTACAAATTTACCTTATTCTCAATTCTGTAATTAGATATGCATAATAACCTACATTATAYGCTATTAATAATCAGGAATTTTTACGGCAAAACCAATATAATTTAGTTTCGATCATTTACGACATAACAATTAACATATACACCATACGCACGACGTTGGAGAGCAGATTATTATTATATAGTCGTGCGTCTAGTTAAAAATACAAAAATATATTTTATGGATCCCTATATATACAATATAATAACAATAATAATAATATAATCTAACGCATATTTACTAAAATATATCAATATATGTTGCTTAAATAATATATACATAACAATTGTCAATTATCTATAGATACACCATATTTGACTATACGTATCATCACGATTATTCTAGACGCGATTGAATAGTAATCCTCTCTCACGCAAAAATGATGCCATTTGACATTTGAGTCCTGACGATTTTGTTATTCGGACATCACCGCGACCAGTCAATTATCGGTATTTATAATATAAATAAATATAATATCAATAATGTGTTTTTCTTTTCAAAACCACGATTTAATGAGATTTTATACCGGATGTAAATGTCAGGATATGAATATATAATACAGTGTGTAACAGCAATACAGCATCATCAGTGGCCAGTGCACATATATTTACCGACGCTTATATACGTCTCTAATTATACTTAAACAAGCAAGGGCGTGTTTAAAGGGAGGACTTATTTAGGAGATTTGCGTCACAACGGAAAAATCTGAAAATATTTTATGGCAATGTGGCATTCTTATACCTTGTTTAGTTGTTTAAATTGATTCTTCTAATCATTTTTTCGATATATCATAATAAATTAATGTTGAAATGTTTATAAGTAGGTACGTATATAACCAACATATTACATAAAACATATGCATGTATAATATTATTATTTGAGCTTTAACATTATATAATATCTCACTATTATAATTTATAAACAAATTAATATCATTGGTAATGGGGTAAATATAAGCTCTCACATATATTTCCTACTTTTTATAGTATTTTGTATATCTATTTATGAGGTTTCGTGCATTCCTGAAGGCTGAAATCTATTCTTTTGAATTATTTCATCTTTATGAAAAATAAAAATTAAATGGATCTATTTTTTTAGTTTTAAATTTACAATCATTGCAGTGATTGACAGCAGACACTATCTCAATTGAAAATGATAATAGAAATGATTAAAATACAATACAGATCATACAAGTTTTTTTTTTTTTTATTATTAATGAATACCCTCGGCAACATGGGCCATTGGGTTTAACGTGAGAAATTCGATACAAGTTTTATAATCACATATTTATTAAAATGTTGATCAACAAATAAATTGATTATTTCATTGTATTATCATATATTATTACTTTTAAATGAAAATAATAATTTTCAGAATAAAAAAATAAATAGTACTTACAGTTATTTTAAATTATTAATTTATTTAAAAAATTGTATTTACATACAACAGAATTAAATTATTTTCTTATATCTTACATCTATTCTTCTTTCCGTCTTCAGTCTTCAATCCTTTCAATTATTATAATTATTCATTTATACAGACGTAAAATTGTTAATTACACACTATATTATTGTAGTCGGTATACTCAGTAAACAGTTTGTTGATGCACATCATCATTTATCACCATCTGGAAGTTATTGACAATATTAACAAGTCTTCGAAAAAAGTGAAATTAGGTTGCATAAAAATAACAAAAGTGGTTGCAATCATAATTCCATTGGCTACTTGGGTTGATCAAGTACAAACATTCATTAAATTGTCGCACTTATGGCATCGAATAAAGAAACTATAGATTAAAAGAGATATCAACCGTTGGGTAAATCCAAAGCTCAACCGTAAAGAAGGTACAGTATTCAACAGACTTCGCATTAGTCTACAGTGCACAGTGCACCATGGACACACCAAAATTACACATGGTTTCCTGATGGCTTGCAGTTAGAAGCTTCCCATTTGTAAAACCCGTGAAAATATGTTAACCGTCATGTATGATATTATAGCTGACTGCAGATATAATGTACAACCAAGAGAACGGATCGAGTACAAGATATCCCACAACCTGAACTCCGCACTCGGTCCGAATCCTAAAAAAAAAACTTAGACATAATATAATTAATTTTACGAAACAAACAAAATTGTTCAATCAAATATATAAAAAAAATAAAAATGTAACCCAATCATTTTAACTTATCTTTGTGTGTGATCAATGATCATGTATATAAGTATCTTAATCCAAGAGTCACCAATAAATATTTTTGAAGGGCAAAATAAGGAATGTTGAATAAAAGATGAAAAACTACAACACCAGAACGTATAATATTATTGGTTTTTAATATTTTCTTTTGTTTGCGGATGAGATAAATATATCCGCAGGCCGTCTTTGATTACCACTGTCTTAACCTTTTTTTAACTAATGGCCTTTGTTATCGATGTTATTTTTTCGAAATCAATAAAAAAATATGCGAATTAGTAAATTTAAAAAGCGGTTAAGTCGTGGATGTCGCTCTGCTGTACAGTTACAAGTGGGTTACTGTAATGGATGGAATTAAATTTGAAACCAATGATATTATATCATCATGTATACGAAAAACGATTCTGAGCGGAGACGGTTTATTTGTCTAGGATATATTCATATATTAAAGATTATTAAAAATTTTCTAATCTTAGATTTAAAAAGAAAATTTTTTATTATGAATTTCTAGCTTAAAATAATTTGCAAATTTTTGTGATTTTTCCGTATTTTGTCAAACTTTGAATGCTTATAAAAAAAAATTGTGAGTATGAATTTCTTTTATTTTTCAATTGCTATTGTAACAATATGTTAGATGTCTTGAATTAAATTTTCAAGCATTTCTAACCAACAAATACATTTTTATCGATATTAATTTAAAATAAACTAATAATGATCGAAAATTGCATATGCCTATAAATAGTTCAACTTAAGTCAAACATTTTTGAAAAATGCATGGTGGATAGAAAATACTATATAAATATTCGGTGAAAATTTCATGTATCTATCGTTATTTTTTTAAAGTTACCAAAATCGAATTTGTCGAAAACTTTCCCGTTTTTCCCTTAACGCATAGACGCAAATCGCAGGGGTTAGGTACCTAACCTAATAAAACCTAGCTGAATTTTAATGCTAGCACCCCGAATCCCGTGATTATAACTTATAGTACTATTACCATCACATTTTCAAAATAATTACATTTATTAAAAATTYAAAAACAGTTTCATATTTATTTAATTATTTATAATATAATATGTCGAGTTTACGTCTGGATATATTAAACTGCAATGACGTATAAAACATATTATATAATATCATAATAATTGTAAAATTATGATATTAACGGGAAATAATAAATTGTTAAACATATAGGTATGTAAATAATAAAATTCAGAGTATCTATAATCTACGCAGACCGACCGCAACACGACACTACAGGTATATAGTTTTATTTAATTAGACCCGCAGTGAGTAATATATAGTAATAAATAGGATTAAAATAATTTTTAGAGAGCGATCTAGTCATYGATAAAGACATAATTTTAAATAAGTTTGCTGAAAATAAGCGCACATTGCCTTTACATTTTTAATAAATAAATAATAATAATAAAATGTTTAATTGTGTTTGTTTTATTTTTATTTATATAATATATAGCATAGTACTATTGGGGTGTGTGAGGGGCGAAGCCCCTCACGAGTTTGGTCTGTTTCCTCAAAAATTTTTAGTGCTTAAGCCCCCCTAATGTTTTTTGGTGATTTGCGCCTATGCCTTAACGTTTAGTTTGTTTACCACGATCATTTAGAAAAATATTGAGAATTTTTTACTTTTGACCCCCCCCCTCAAAGTACCAACTAGATTCACTTTCTGATCGAACGAGGTACTGAAGTAGAAAATCGAAGCACTTATACTTCCCCAAAACGTGATAACAGACAAAAAAAAATAAAAACACACATCTTGGTAAAATCAATACATTCCTCGCTCCGCTCTGGATCTAAAAGAAACTTTTAGACATAACAAAAATTATGATGTATGTTATAATATAATATTATTAATAAATTATTATCATAGACTAGCAATATATATATAACATTAATTAAAAATAAACGTTAACCGAAAAATAAAATTCATACTATTTAGCTAATCAGTAGCTATAGATGCCTTCGAGTTGTAGATTTTCCAATAAATACAAAAAAAAATTAGGTACCTATAAAAAATAATTATTATGGAAATTAGAAGAACTTGCTTGAACAAGATAATATGTTATTGGTAGTTGGTACTGTGTAATAAAAAATATTATTAATATTGTATTGCTATATTTATATAATTATGTACTTAGAAATCTGGTATACCTATATCACAAAACGTCAGAAGTCAGAACGATAAAATTGTTCTTCTTCACAGACAGGCATAATACATTTTCGTAAATGTTGCCTATAAAAATATTATGTACCGTCAAATGTCAATATAAACTGTATTTTATAAGTGTGTGCTATAATAATACTGTATAGCCAGGTAGGTTAGGCTTAAATATGCAAAACAATAATATTGACTAAACKAGTTTCATTTTATAAAATCATAAAAAGAAAAGTGCAGATATAATAATATTATGTAGGTATTTAAGTCAAAGCCCATAGAATATAATGTTATTTTGTACCTGGGCATATTGTATTTGACCTCAGAGTTCTGGATTGCAAATAATATTTAATAATATACAAATATACTCATGATACAAAATATGTATAAAATCAAATCGATAGGTATAGGTACGTATAACGCAACGGAATGAATTAATTATAATATTATGATAACCGCGTGGCTCTGGTACATATTGTGTGTATTGYGTAATATATTTAAGGACATTACACGTAAACCYACATTATTATTGTTCAATATTTGTCGATGTCAATATTCAATAGTCAATAACAGACTTGCCTGTACTATATTTTAGACTTTAGTAGATATAGTTAAGTCTGTCGATAATTTGAATAATGCGTTTCCACTTTCCACGTAGGTACACTTGTGTTGACTCGTTGGTTACCGCGATGAGCGTGACATCATCGCGCCGTGGATCCAATGTCGCCACAACTGTTCGTCGACAAATCGACCGAACGAAATATTTAATATACCGTTTGTGGTTTGTCCGTACTTCCGTAGGTTATAGCTAGTGTATAAATTAACTTAACACTCTATTGATATCTGCTCTACGATTTGAGATCTAAATTCGTGACATTCAAGTACAAAAGTTTATTACATTAAACAAAATAGAAAACAAGAAAACTACATATGAAAATAACCTGTGTAAAAGAGACTTGTAAGGAACAGAACCCTACACGGAGGGGTATGAAAAGATTGGCCGACTACATAAGATATAAATATTATATATAATGATTTAATATAATAATTGGAGTTAACGGCGGATTGGCTAGACATTTCAGCATAGAAAATCAACACAATATTATATTATAATAATTATTAATAATGGTTAATTTTTCATTAAACATCATTTTTTCGGGRGAGTGGGATGAGATTTGTCTTAATGTCTTGTTTACAATATGTAATTTATTTTTATGACCACCCAAATTACCAACTTGGGCAACTTATTCATTTTTCTCCAAAAAATATGATGAAATAGAAAATCGAAGCATTTTTAACTACCTGAAAAGTGACGACAGTCTTCTTTTTTTTTTTTACCATGCCAAATCAATACATTCATCATTCCGTATTAAAACATATTCTATAAGAATGTTGACGGATAAAGTAACTCCTAATATGTACTATTGTATCACACGATTTACACGTAGTCAATACTACCGTACTGCCCGTACTCAATACAACCAATATGGCAATATGACGTCCAAGATCATGATATGAGTAGGTATATGGCAACTAACATCGTGGACACATAGTTAAATAATATAGCAGTTAATTTGTGTCTCAAGTCATCGGTCAAAATTTTAATAAGAGGATCGGTCCATCGGCAACTTTMAAGGTATCCCGTTGGSTCAATCTTACGCTGAATTTGAAGTGAAGAAGCTGAAGAATACATGTAGAAAAGTTTTGGAAGAAATGACTTTATATAATATTATTATTTGTGATTGGGCCATTTATCGTATTAAACGATATTATTACATCAGAGATCAGAAACTCACAGTACCTACACTCGTACGGAACTATATTTGAAAATTGAACGCCGTCAGATGTCAGTTGAGAGATAAATTAATTAGGGTAGCGCTCGTGTATAACTATGATTCATAACTTTTTAAAGATTTGTGGCCTACGCCCCTTTGCCTTAYGCCTTTATTGTGAGGAATAACATTGAGGTATCTGCAGACATAATGTATGAYGCGTATAGATATATATTATTTTTTGAAACCAAAAGTTACAAATAAAAATATTTAGTACCCCTGATYACTGAAAGTCTAGAAAGTTGGTTTTTAAACTGAGTTTCAAAATGTTTCTAAAAGAAAAACGAGCAATAATTYATATGAAGAAAAAATAATTAAATGTACCTACTACTTATATGGTGTAACAGTTGCCGTGTTTACGTTGCTTTCGACTTTCGAGTACCCAATGAAGACCGAACCCACAAGCAGTCGTCTAACCCACATGAGCACTTGATTATTACAATAAAGGTCAAAATAGCTCAAAAACCCGCGGGTACCTAGTCACTAAGTCCCAAGCAAAACGTTTATACTACTTAGGTATTCACGTCATGATCACCGCTAACGGCGCTAACGTTGCAGTGGAAGTCATTGACGTCGTTTGTAATGTCGGCCGGTGGAACGTTGTATAAACTTTCTCTACCGAAGTGGTGGCAGCATTGCGGAAAGGTGAAAAAAAAATCTTTTACATGTGTAATGGTTTGATAGCGGTGCGGCGGCGGCTGGTTACTTAATACTTTAGTTACTTAACAGTGTTAAAATCGTTTCGGTTTTTGCATCGAATTGTCGTTCGCTCGTGCACACGCTTTTCGCCAGTACCTACCACACACACACCGTCTCATTCTCGCGGCAGGCACACAACGTGATTACAGTAAGTGTTTTTRCGTTTACCAATGGCGCGCACCGCTTCGTACAGCGCGGCCCCCCGACGGTCGTTAAACCTCATGGCAATACGATCGGTCTGGGGTTATGTATGGTTCGGCGTGCGAGCTCACGCGCACACGTACGCACACATACTCCGAGCTCGGTGGTATGACACGTCGACTCCACGGCGATTGGGGCTTATTATACCCGAATCCCCCTAATCGCCGGGTATTTAATTTTGTCTGCCACGCACATCACGTTGACGGATGAGCCACCGTGGCGCCGTCGGCCCTTGGGTCCACCCGCCGTCCACCTCTCACCTARGCGCGTCAAAGGGCCCTGTATCGCGGCCGCGACCACGGCGAGCTCAGTGCGAGTCAGAGCCCTATTACACAGTTTCACATTTCCCCCCGAATAGCGCTCTGGGCCAGCACACGTTTTACTTACGTTGGTCGCTTTCGAACGTGCCCGTGGCGGCCCGTACCATTAATAACGTAAATGAGTATTTTTTCGACCGCTGACTCGTCCAAAAYCGTTCAAGTAGGCGATACAGGATCAGAAGTTGTAGTCCTTAGTCCTTTAAGGTAGAGCTACCCATGGAAAAGGCWATTGCMGCTGTGGATGCATTTGTACATTTTTTGTTTTTAATACACATCTGGTCGGTTTCATTATGCTTATGTKTACTYACCAAAACCTATGTTTATTAATTTTTCATAAGGATTGTTTTTAATTATTTATTGTTATACTAATTACCTATATTGTCTTAAGTTAATTTTTTCTATAATTGGATTTTTTATCTAAAARTAGGTGGGCACTGACTAGGATTTTAGGAACATTTAAACATATTTAAATATTTAACAACAACCTAATTCCTACTCCCAAAATTGAAGTTAATATTTACCTAACATTTATCTTGGCTATCACAGTAGATAGCCAAAACCAAATCTGTTCAACAATAAAAAATAAAAGTTACCCATTTTTCAAGGCATATATCAGTCACTTTTCTAGTAAAAAAAAGTTTTCTGGTAGCAAATTCTATAKAGTTCGTACCCTTGAGAGTAAACTACTTAAGAGATCAACATTTACAACTACCTATTTAATGTAATRTATAGGTAATAGGTACTCAAACAAATATTATGAATATTTGTTAAAATTTCAATATTATCAAAACAATCCTTAGCTTACCGTTTTTTTAGATATTATTTTATGTTATGCAATATATTTTTGAAATTAATTAACGTTTTATGTTTAATATTTTAATAAGTTCAGGCATCATCTTATACCTATATCATAAATTTAGCTTTTTATTCAATTTGATTGATCCTGCATATTAACTATATTACCATATATTTGTTCACCAAATATAATTATAAATATTATTATCATAAATATTATTATGATACAACTTTTGATTGTGATAGATGATAGAACGAGCGATAGAATTATATTATTCAATAACAATACCTATTTCATTAAAACTGCACACACAATATAAAAACTTTTATTTTTTGTAAATATTTATTCATTAATGGTTATTTATTTTATTTGAGTTGACATTTTTGCAGASTACCTACAGTAAACTTTTCATAATTATTCTAACCTWAAAATCTTAAGGCTTAAAAACTCAAAATAATTTTTAATTTTATTTAAAAATTATTAATTATCATTTTTATTATATTATTACCCTTTATTAATTTTTTTAGTTGTTTCAATTGAATTTCTACGACTAATAAAACAGTTATCTTAGTTAAAATAATAAAATMTAATCTTGGGATTTCAGACTAGTGTAGTTGTGTCTCTTTGTAATGAGTTATTATCTAATGCAGAAAGATCCAAACCTAGGTCCTCAAACCCATATTTGGCTCTTAGAACATGTGTTTAATAATGTTTAGAGTTTATAAATGTGATAAATTAAAAAAAAAACTTTGGCCATGAGGGATGGCGTAGCAAAAGTACTAATCTATCCATATTATATTATGTGACAACTAGTGTATTATATAATAATAATAATAAGTTTGTTATAAAATTAAATAAAAAAAAATATTTCTTTTTGCAGCCTTAGTGTTTATAAATGTGTAAATTGCCTGCCAATTACTAAAAGTTGGGCAATCCTGATCTAATGGATTAGAAATATATTTTCTTAAATTTTTTGTACTTTAATGCTATTAATAATAATAAATTTTAATTTAATTTTAGTGTTTCAATAARGAGAGACCTTTGGTACTCGTTTTATTTGGACTAAACGTTTGGTAAGGAAGCTACAGCCATCATGTTGGAGTTGCAACAGCAAGATATTCCTAAGTTGAAGAGTGAACGCTCGGTGTCTAACAACACTGGTCAAGAAGATGGAGGCAACAATGGTAACAGCTATGACCTTGTGTTTCCGGCTTTACCTGACTCAAAAACATTAGTACCCAAGAATATTGGGATCAATGGTCAATGTGCATCTTCAAATGTACCACCTAAAGGATGGAACAAAGTTCGAACTTCAACTGTCAATAATGTAAAATTATATATTTCTTAAAATATTATCTGTATAATGGCATTTATAAAATTATAAATAATTATTAGTAGACATTTTTAAAAGATGAATCAATGTTAAAACTTCTCATGGAAAATGTATTTTGTAAATTATTTTAGGTATTCACTATTTCTGTTCAAGACCGTAAATCAGATAATAGTGAAAAATTTGGAGAAGGTGAATCTAAACGTATTTGTAGCCAAATTACAAGAGAAACTGGAGCTGAGATTGAAATATCYACATCAAAGAATATGAATTTGACTTTCCTTGTAAGAGGAAAAGAGGATCATGTCACTGAAGCTAAACGCAGAATTATTGCAAGCTTTCAAACTCAAGTAAAGTTTTAATTATAAATATAATTCTGATTCTCGATGATAATAACTTTTTGCAAACATAAGTCAAAATCAAAATAATTTTATAATAAAATTCTAAGACTGAATTCTATAAAAAGAACCCCTTAAAAGCATGTCTCAGTATAAAAAAATCTAATTAAATAATATAAATGATTTAATTAATTTTCCAGGTCATATATTACCTTACCTAGTTAAAACTCAATAAAAAATTATTTGTTCCAAGTTACAACTTATATATTAAGTTATTTTTCATTAGTGTTTTTTTAATTTAATATGGTTTGTTAAATCATAAATTAATTTAAGAACACAATTAATACTTTGTTTAGATGTTTTCATATACTGTACATATTCTGAAAACAGAAATAAAAAAATAATATTCCAGAGATGTTAAGAACAAATCATAAGTAAATAACTAATTATTCCTTCTTCCAACCTTCCAATTTGTATTGTTCTAAATCTTTATCAATCTGTTAACTTATGTATTATATACATAATATATTATATGAGAAATTAAAAAAATAGGACATTTAAATTATTAGCAAATTGTTTTGGTACATTCAGTTGTACAACTAATTTATAGCCTAGTTGAATATTAGTTGTTTATTAACATAATATTTTAGGCTACTAGTGCAGTTCCTGTTCCTAAGGAGCATCATTGTCAAGTTATGGGAAAACAAGGAACTCGTCGTAAAGAAATTGAACAACGTACTGGTGCGCGAATTCAAATGCCAAGCATTCAAGATACTTCGGATATTATCAATGTTACTGGAACTAGAGATGCAGTGGAGAAAGCTGTTCAGGAAATTCGCATGATTTCAGATGAGTTGGTAAGTTTTTCTTATTGCGTTAATAAATGTAAACCAATTAATTAGGTGCTATTTGTTTTAATAATGAAATTAAACTTTTTAACAGTCTAAAAAAGCATTTGAACGAATTGAAATCCCAAAAATTTTCCATCCTTTTATTACTGGTGGTCATAATGAAAAACTTAATAGCTTAATGAAAGAAACTGGTGTTAAAATCCATGTTCCCCCGCCATCTGTTAACAGAGATGAAATTACAATTGCTGGAGATAAAGAGGGAGTTCAATCAGCTATTGAAAAGATAAAAGAGGTTTATGCAAAAATGGTAAGTAATAATATAATACCAAATATCAAAGATAACACAATTTTCATAATATAATAGTCAAAACTAAGTAGTTCAAAATTCTTAATATTTCAAGTAATAAATTCTTTTCTCTCTGTCTTAACACTCAAATTATTGTTAATTTTTGTATGAACAAAAATATAATCAATTTTAAATAATACTAATATTTTTATTGCAGGAAAAAGAATCAGCAACGGTGTTTGTTGAAATACCAAAACAGAAACATAAATATTTAATGGCTCAAAAAGGAAATGGTATTCAAGATATATTATTGGAAACTAATGTCAGTGTAGAAATGCCTCAACAAGATTCAGACAAAGAAACCGTTACTTTAAGAGGGTTATATAAGGATTTAGGCACTGGTAAATTTGTTTTTTTAATGTATTTGGTGTATAAAAATATAATTATCATTTTAATTTTAGGGTTAACTAAGTTGTATGAAAAAGCTAACAGTATGACTGCTGAAACAATTGAATGTCCAGGATGGATGCATAGATTTTTGATAGGAAAAAATGGTTCTAATTTACGAGAGCTAATAGAAGATAATGAAAAGGTGCTTAGTAAATTATTTTATTATTATGTTTAATTTATTTACATAATTATGATGACTTAGTATTATTTAGTAATTAAAATTAAATTTAAAGAACTTATTTCATATAATTATATTTTCAAAGGTACACGTTGAATTTTCTGATGATAATAAGATAATTGTGGAAGGACCAACAAATATGATTCCTAAGGTAATCGATTCATTAAAGAAAGCTATTGACTGCTATGTTTCTACAGAACTTGTTGTTGATCCAAAGTTTTTCAAGCATATAATCGGGAAAAATGGAAGCAATAGTAAGTTGATAATTATTGTAATTTTAATTTGTATGAAAAGTTTGTTTTAAAAAAAACTGAATTTCTTATGTATATAACTGAAAATAAATAAATTGTTGATAATTCATTTTTTCCTTATTCAGTTAATCGCGTTAAGAATGATACTGGTGTTATAATCAATATTTCTGAGTCTGATAATAACTCTAACATTATTCGTATTGAAGGACGAAAAGATGGAGTAGAATTAGCTAAAAGCGTAAGATATATTGAAGTATTTTATTAACAAATTTGTTTCGCTGTTTTGTTTAAGATAATTGTTATGGCTAAAAAAATTTGAATACATTATAAAAAAAAAAGCTATTTGTTCTTTGTATACTAATACACTTTTAATAGGAATTGGAAGAAATGATTTATAAGTTRGAGAATGAAGTTGAAAAAGAAATATCAATTGACCAACGTCATCACCGTGCTATAATTGGGGTCAAAGGTGAAAAAGTTAGAGAACTTCAGGAAGCTTTCAATGTTCAAATTACATTTCCCAGTTCAGGTAAATAATTTTTACGTTTTAACACAATATCATAACCAAAAGTATAAATATTATTTGGTTAATTTTATTTTAGTTGAAGCTAGAAGTAATTTAGTCAAAATACGTGGTTTAAATGATGACGTGAATAAAGCATTCAAGTCTTTAGCKAAATTGGCAAAAGAATTAGATGAAGCAAACTATGTGTTAGAAATTCCTGTTTTTAAACAATTCCATAAACTTGTCGTGGGTAAAGGAGGAGCTAATATTAAAAAGGTTTGATTGTTATTATTAATTTTTTTTTTTTTGTCATTATTTAAATTAATATACCTATTGAGTAAATTCAATTTTTATTTTTAGATCAGAGAAGAAACCGATACCAGAATTGATTTACCTCGTGAGGGTGAAGATAGTGACACCATCAAAGTTATGGGTAATAAAGAAAAGGTTTTAATTGCTTGCGATATGATAAAAAAAATTCAAAATGAAATGGTTGGTAAATTTTAAAATAACTTTATTTCAATTTAAGTTCAACTAAATAATATTTTTTCTAGGGAGATATTGTCACAAAAGAAATAGTGCTAGGAAATATTAAAGTACGCAATGTTATTGTGAATCTTGGAAATAAGTTTATTCAATCTATCAGAGAGGATTGTGGTGGTAATGTGTCTTTAAAGTTACCAGCTATTAAAGGTGATAATGTAAGTATTATATGTTTTAATTTACGCACTCATTTAAGTATAATTAAACCAATAAGATACATTTTACTTGTATACTCTTTTTAAAATATGAATGGTAGTCAGATGCTTTGTCCACCAAATTGACACTTGAAACCTGTGCTTTAAAATGAAGCTCTTGCATACAAGTTGGCCACTGACTACCATTATTATTTTGAATAAGGTATATTTAAAGTAATTTTTAATATTGTTCCATTCAAAACAGTTATTTACATTTTTTAATTTATTTTCTTTCGTATTTCAAGCAAATATATATTTTTATAAATAAGTAAAATAACAATAAGCTTAAGTAATTGATTGTATGAATTACATGTTGTTTATGGATATAAATCTGGTTTATAATAAAAATAATTTTAATTTCTTAATATTCAATTAATACTTACTGAATTGTTCAAGTTTAACTATAAAAGCTTCTGCATTCTAAACAATATGTTGTTCTATGCTATTTTTTGGTTTTTAGCTTATTAACTTATTT